TGGGAGTCTCTGTGCTGGAAATTCATTTGAGGTTTTGCAAAAGATACAGTATTATTTTAATCTCTTCATTGTTACAATTCATTTTGGATTTGGGGGACTGCACTTGTGGCTGGTGAGCTCCTATGGAGGAAGGTTGACCATGACTGGTTCTTCAGCCAGCATCTTTGAACAGTGACCACCACCGTCTGTTATATCATTTATATCCATACATTATATCATTTGAGCCTCACAACAGCTCTCTTCAGTGTACGTGGATTGGGAGATTTCACCTTTGTAAATAAGAAACGATCTTCAGAGATGTTATTTGACTTGTCCAATATTTATTTGTTCAATTATTTGTTTCCATCAGTAAGAATTCATGGATATTTATTTTATTCTATGGCAAACTGGGGTCTTTTTGATCAAAGAAAAAGTCTAAGGCAGGATGTGATCCTTTCTCACATGATGCAGAGGGCTGTCAGGGGAGGGGCCACAGACATCATGTGTGTGACCCCAAAATGCAGAATTAAGACCTGTACCTGGAAGCCATGGGAAGATGAATTTCCATTCAATTTAAGAACATCTGACAAACTAGTGGTTATCAGTGGGGAGAGGGCAGGGGGAAGGGGCAATTTAGTGGCAGGGAATTAAAAGGTACCAACTAGTATATAAAAAATGAGCTACAAGGACATATGGTACAACATGGGGAATACAGCAACTATTTTGTAAAAACTATAAGTAAAATATAACGTTTAAAAATTGTGAATCACTATATTGCACACCTGTAACATATATTATACATCAACTGTAGGTCAATTGAAAAAAAGAAAATCTCTTATTTTCAATGATTAACTTTGTTGGGGTTTCTGCCTTAGAAAGGTGTGACCGCTCTCACAGCGATCTGATCCCCTGCACCAAATCCTGGTTTAAAGTGAAGCCAAAACTGTGTGTTCCGTCCCTGCAGGCTTGAAGGCGGCTGTAACTACGATTACATTGAAGTGTTCGACGGCCCCTACCACAGCTCCCCGCTCCTCGCCCGGGTCTGTGACGGTGCAAGGGGCTCCTTCACCTCCTCGTCCAACTTCATGTCCATCCGCTTCGTCAGTGATAGCAGCATCACGAGGAGAGGGTTCTGGGCTGAATACTACTCCAGTCCTTCCCCTCAGAACACAAGTAAGTCCCTGATGGTCTGGGGTGGGGCTCCTCTGAGAGCCTTCTGCTGCTCAGACCCCTGTGGCTGTGAAGTAAGAAGCCAGAAACACCTTGTCAGGTCACCAAGGCTCCATCCAGCACAGAAAGGGGTCAAAAGCGGGGGGTCTTGGCACTGTGGCTGCTCAGAAATGGCCGATGGTGGCCTATTGGCCTTTCTGTGGTCAGCAGAGACTAGGAAGAAGGGGCAAGACGATGCTTTCAGCACCTACTGAGATGTCAGTGCTGAGGGCCATGTGGCTTGAGGCCTTGTGACCGTCCCAGAATGAGGGACACTGAGATCATTTCCTGAGACCCAGCACATCTGGCTGCTACCCTGAGATGGATGGAGCTGGTCACTCAGCCACATCTGGCAGAGGCCAAGGGCCACAGTCTG